GCCTTTGTCCTTTACTTGTCACCTTTTTATATAAAATGTAGGGGCCCAAATCACTCCATCTTCATTGGATGATTGTTCCAGGCCAAATCTATGTTATTTCTGAAAAACTGCAATAAATGTAATGTACAAGACAGCTGCCGTATCTGGGTAATATCTTGCCCATGGGACATTTTCAACTGTTTACGTGTGTTACACTGTCAAAGCAACCAAGGTAGATACTGATGATGAAAGAAATAGATACCAAGAACTCTCACAATTTACTTGTGTCTTAGAAAATTTGCCATTAAAAGATTTGCTAGTAGAGTGCTGTCAATGTGCTTCTAAAGTGTCTGATTTTCTAAACCCTGGTAGAAGAAAAACTAGGCAACTCAACAGCTTCAAACAAAAAATGAGTTATTTAGGTATTTACAGAACTGACTGAGGTATCCCATGCTGAGTTAGAACAGGTACTTGTCAGAAAGGATATTTGCATAATGGGCTTTAAATTTCCTGCTAGAAATTTTATTAATAGCATAATTATTATTTTAAAAATCTTAGTTTAATACTGTCTTTTGTTTATATCTATATAAGCATATTTAATTTCTATTAATAAAATCAAGCTCAGATACTTGAAAATATGAGCTAATGATCAAATTTTCTACATGATGGAGAAAGGAATGGATTGTGTGGCTTCCTGTGACAATTCTACTATTGGGTTTGATTGTTTTGAGTTTTGTCATAGTTAGTTTGGAAAAATTTGATATTTCTAAAAGAGTATTTTGGAAGAATTTCATTCATTTTCTTTTTATTTCAGTCTGTCAAACTCACTTTTCAAGAAAGATGAATACTATCCTCTATAAAATATACCTAAAGTGATGGGGTGCAAGACTGGACTTTACAAAGATTTTGGGATGATATAATGCAAAGGGGTAGTGTATAATAAATTGTCCATAACTTCTGATCTTTGATGGGATTCCCTGGTAGTTCAGCTGGTAAAAAAAAAAGAAAAAAGAAAAAAAAAAGTCCATCTGCAACGTAGGAGACCCCTATTTGATTCCTGGGTTTGGGACATCTGCTGGAGAAGGGATGGATAGGCTATCCAATCCAGTATTCTTGGGCTTCTGTGGTGGCTCAGATGGTAAAGACTCTGCCTGTAATGCAGGAGACTTGAGTTTGATCCCTGGGTTGGCAATATCCCCTGGAGAAGGGAATGGCTACCCAATCCAGCATTCTGGCCTGGAGAATTCCAAGGACTGGGGTTGCAAAGAGTTGGACATGACTGAGAGAGTTTCACTTTCTGATCTTTGATGAAAGATGAAACATGGATAGTTTGTGTCTTTTAGGGTATAGTAGCTTTTTTGCATCAGTATATTCAGTCCAGTTCAGTTCAGATCAGTCGCTCAGTCATGACTGAATCTGCAACTCCATGGACTATAGCACTCTAGGCTTCCCTGTCCATCACCAACGCCAGGCGTTTGCTCAAGCTCATGCCCATTGAGTAAGTGATGCCATCCAACCACCTCATTCTCTGTCATTCCCTTCTCCTCCTGCCTTCAATCTTTCCCAGCATCAGGGTCTTTTCCAGTGAGTCAGTTCTTCACAGCATGCGGCCTGCTTCAGCTTTGGCATCAGCAACAGTCCTTCCAATGAATATTAAGGGCTAATTTCCTTGAGGATTGGTTGGTTTGATCTCCTTGCAGCCCAAGGGACTCTCAAGAGTCTTCTCCAACAACACATTCAAAAGCATCAAGTCTATGGAGCTCAGATTTCTTTATGGTTCAACTCTCACATCCATATATGACTATTGGGAAAACTATAGCTTTGAATATAAGGACTTTGTGAGCAAAGTAATCTCTTGGATTTTTAATATGCTGTCTAGGTTTGTCATAGCTTTTCTAAGGAGCAAGTGTCTTTTAATTTCATGGCTGCAGTCACTATCTGCAGTGATTTTGGAGCCCAAGAAAATAAAGTCTGTCACTCTTTCCATTGTTTCCCCAACTATTTGCCATGAAGTGATGGGTTCTGGTGCAATTATCTTTGTTTTTTTAATGTTGAGTTTTAAGCCAACTTTTTGACTCTCCTCTTTCACTTTAAGGAAAAGGCTCTTTAGTTCCTCTTAGCTTTCTGCCATAAAGGTGGTGTCATCTACGTATGTGAGGTTTTTGATATTTCTGGCAATCTTGATTCCAGCTTGTGCTTCATCCAGCCCAGCATTTCTCATGATGTACTCTGCATGTAAGTTAAATAAGCAGGGTGATGACATACAGCCTTGACGTATTGCTTTCCCAATTTGGAACCAGTCCATTGTTCCATGTTCGGTTCTAACTGTCGCTTCTTGACCTGCATACAGTTTTCTCAAGAGGCAGGTAAGGTGGTCTGGTATTTCCATCTCCTTAAGAATTTTCCACAGTTTGTTGTGATCCACACAGTCAAAGACTTTAGCATAGTCAATAAAACAGAAGTATCAGAAAAGCCGGTGTATTAGAAGAATACTTGAGATTTTAATAACAGCAAGCAATTATTAATTTTAGGCTATTTAAAGTATCAGAAGACATTTTTTTAATATGGCACCCAAGTAACTGTTGTTTTCAACAGCACTGCTGATGTCTAAAGAAAATAAAAATGTAAAATTAAAAGCTAGAAGAGCTATTTGGGACTAAATGTAATCTGATAAAGAGTACAAACTCTTTACTTCACAAGTGATTTTGTTTTCATCTCATGAACAGAGGAAGCTTTATGTATAAAGGAAAACCCTCTATTCAATTAATCAGGTCAGTCTTCCTGGGGATTTAATATTCATTTTAATGATTCTAGATTCTTCAATTCATTTCTAGAACTTATATATTTCCACTAGAGTCAATTTATAAATTATAAAGAAATCATCATGGGTATCATTAAGTAACACCTACACTCCCCTTATGTATTTTTCAAATATTTTAAAATCTTTTATCTTTCTCTGAAGTTTTACACTAGATTTGGAGTAGACTTAACTCCAAAAGTGTTTTCCATAAAAATGTATCCTCAATTTAAAGATTATCCTGAACCTTGATTTAGTTGAGACCAAAGAATATTTACACTAAATTGCTACTCATACTAAATTCTATTATGATAAAAGTCAATAATGATGTTAAAAGGAAAAAAAAAAACAAAAAACTGGTTCTGTGTCTATATTTGTTTTATTTTCTTAAGAACCATTGTTAATTTGGAATATTTATTTAGTCCACATTATTTGTGAGGCAGTCATTTCAACTTATAATTATATTCTGCTAAAAGGTAAGATTGAAACTATGTGTATTATTTCAGCTCTCACATAAAATGAGCTTGGAAGTATCCCTTACCACACACAAAGAGACACACCAAAAGAAAAACAGCCAAATTAACACAAAACCAGTGACACTTCTTGGATCCAGGAGAGAATTGAGGTTACAAGGCCAATTGCCACAGCAAAACTTGAAAAGACAGGTGAATAAAGACAGATAGTTGAAATCAACTTACCTACATGCAGAAACCACTGGAGACACAAACTGGTAGAAATGCCTAGAAAGGAATTTTGAGGAATTATTGATGGCTCAGTGCATATAAGCTTAAGAATGAACTCTTGGTGACTGCAGATACAGAGGGCTTCCAGGTAGCACTAGTGGTAAAGAACCTGCCTCCAATGCAGGAGACATAAGAGACATGGGTTTGATCTCTGGATGGGGAGGATCCACTGGTATAGGAATTGGCAACCTATTTCAGTGTTCTTGCCTGGAGAATCCCTTGGACCGAAGAACTGGTGGACTGTAGGGTTTCAAAGAGTTAGACATGACTGAGGGACTTAGCACACACAGACATAGAAAGGTTCCACACTTTTGTAGATTTTACTCCCACGTATCTCACAAGGCTATCATGGTGAAGAGTCAAGGAAAAATCATGTATTTATTTGGTGGGGAGCCTCAGGGAGAGAGGAAAAGTAATCATTTTAAAATACACCCGATATATTCTTCATAATAAAAGCATACTTTGAGAAACACTTTACCAGGGACTTATCTAAAATAGATGGGAAGTCCAAGTACCTAACTACAGTCCACATAACCTTTCTGTCTTACCTAAGGAAGGTAGAAAGAAACTTTTGTGGAAATCCAAGCAATACAGGTTCACTAAAGATTAATCATAAGATTATAGAATGCCTCCCTCCACCATTTCTTATTACAATATTAAGATGACTTCAGTAAGAGTGAATTAGAACTAATTTGGCCGTAAGGCTCAGACTCAAAGAAGATGATATCCTTATGAATATATAAAGACAAAAGCTAGAACACTAAGTGTATTTAAGATCCCTGACACTTACAACTATAGTTAACATTAAACACAGCTCAATTTCCAGCCAGATTAACATAAAATTCCACACTAAAGGCCTGTTTAACTTCAATCAGTTCAGTTCAACGCAATCGTGTTCAACTCTTTGTGACCCGATGGACAGGAGCATGACAGGCTTTCCTGTCCATCACCAACTCCCATTGCTTACTCAGACTCATGTCCATCGAGTCGTTGATGCCATCAAACCATCTCATTCTCTGTCATTCCCTTCTCCTCATACCTTCAATTTTTCCCAGCATTAGGGTCTTTTCTGATGAGTTGGCTCTTGGCATCAGGTAGCCAAAGTATTAGAGTTTCAGCTTCAGCATCAGTCCTCCCAATGAATACTCAGGACTGATTTCCTTTAGACTGACTGATTTGATCTCCTTGTAATCTAAGGGACTCTCAAGAGTCTTCTCCAACATCCCAGTTCAAAACCATGAATTCGATTCGGAGAGCGTCCTGGACGCGGCGGGCGGTTTCCGCCGCCTCTGGCAGCAGCTCCGCTACCTGAAAGACTCCCGCGGCCGCTGTCGACGCCGCCGCCGCCCCTTCCTCTTCCGTCCCCCGCGCCGCCGCCGCTCTCACCTTTTCGGGCCCCTCCGCCACCTCTCCACGACCTAGGCCCTCTGTTTCTGAGAGGAAGCCTTTCTCGGGCCCCTTCGCGGGCCCGGCGCGCAGCCATGGCTGACGGCGGGGGCGGCGGCCCCATCAACCCGGCCTCACTGCGCCCCCCCGGCGACCCGCAGCTCATCGTGGAGCAACTCAAGAGCCGTGGTCTCTTTGACAGCTTCCGCCGGGACTGCCTGGCCGACGTGGACACCAAGGTTTGGTGGAGAGTGTTTGTGAGCCATGGCCTTTGGGAAGAGCCCACTCACAGAATTGAGGCCTCTTGATTCCTTTGTCAGTGTCACCTACCTGACTGTTAACAGACTTTTGCCAGAATAACACTACATAATAAACCAAATCGCAGTGGCTTACAATAAGCATTTGTTTGCATGCTGATGGGACTGCAAGTCAGCTAAAGTTCAGCTGATCTAGATAGACTTGGTGGCTCAGCTATAGGCAACCTGGGCTTAGGTCCAAGCTGTGGTTGGGGGAGGATCTCTGCATGTGTGCTTTTCCTACATCCCAGGCCCGAGGGACAGAGGTTGCAAAGAATACACCCTCATAGAAGGTCACCAGAGTACCAGAGCCATGCCAGATGGCGCAGCCACATTTAGGACTTCTTGTCAGCGACACAGTATTATCAAAGTGAAAGTCACTCAGTCGTGTCCAACTCTGCGACCTCCATGGACTATACACTCCATGGGGTTCTCCAGGCCAGAATACTGGAGTGGGTAGCCTTTCCGTTCTCCAGGGGATCTTCCCAACCCAGGGCTCGAACTCAGGTCTCCCACACTGCAGGCAGATTTTTCACCAGCTGAGCCACCAGGCACTTCATTGGCCAAAGAAGATCACACTGCTAAATGCAGCATCAGTGGGGTAGGGAAGTGGTCCCTGGCCACAGTGGGAGGAGAGAGGAGTGAAGTGTGAAGTGTGAAACAGCAGTGCACACTGTTACACCAGGTTTGGACAACAGCAGCTGATGGTGCCAGAAGATCTTGGAGGCTCAGAATGCACATTCCTTTTGTTCACATGCATTCCCTTGTTCATCAAGCTCCTTTCTGATTTTGTTCTCCTCATACTAGTTGGATTTAGAGAGCAGTAGTGCCAGTCAAGGAGAGCTTACTCCTTGGAAGGCAAGTTATGACCAACCTAGATAGCTACTGGCCTTCAGCCAGTGTTCCATAGACTTTGCCTTCAGCCTGTGTTTGTGAGGGCTGGGTGGCTTCATTTTGTGCAGAGGGCTTTCGTGGGCCCTTGCTTGTTGCTGAGAACACCCTATGAGCCAGCTTACCAAAACCTGAGGCAAAAAGTGGATAATTTTGTGTCAACACATCTGGACAAGAAGGAATGGAATCCCATGATGAACAAAAACCAGTTGCGAAATGATCTGAGGCAGAGTGTAGTTCAGTCAGGGATGTTGAAAGCTGGAGTGGACAGAATTATTTCCCAGGTGGTGGATCCCAAACTGAACCACATCTTCAGACCACAGATAGAACAAGCAATTCATGAGTTCATGGCAGCCCAGAAAAAAGAAGCCGTGCCAGAACCACCTCCAGAGCCTGAAAGTCAGGACCCTGCTGCTCCATCCCAGGACGCTTCCTAAAAATATGCCTGACATGTTTTAGAAGCTCCATTGAATTAACGGTGAAGACCTGGATTCAGTTACATAAGAGCACAACTTCAGAATGAAGACAGGCCGAAGTCCTCACTGACTTCAGAATTCAATGCTGACTGTGGGGTGGTGTCCAGAGGGAATAGGGAGCAAGTGGGGCTATAGAAAAGTTGACCATGTGGGCCCTCACATTGTGCTGCCATCCAGCTAGCCTGTCCAAGAGGGTGACACCCCGTAGACACTACAGACATACTAAGAAACACTACATCACTTTGGGGTTTGTCCTGAAGCGAACCTTTGTACTTGAACTTAGAGACTGTGTATGGATTTTAGGGTTTGTGCTTGAGGATAATCAGAAGCTACAGTGAAGGAACATAACCAGTCCTAAAGATGCAGTTTCNCTGGGTTTGCCCCGCTCACGGGTGTCTGTGCTTTCCCAGTCTACACTGCTCAGGCTCCCGGCTGCTCTATATGGAGCGGGCCCTGCGTTGAGTGTGGTTCCAGTTTTTGGGTACTCCACAAAAGCGCAGATTCGGTTGTACCTGCGTTTTGTGCCTTCCCAGGCCTGAGCAGTTCAGGCAGGCAAGGGCTTGGGCACACTCTCCCTGGGTGCGGTGCGCCTTTTCTCTCCGCGGCCCCAGCGCGCGCCGCAGGTTGGGTCTCAGGAAGTCTTTAGATAGGAACCAGGGGCCTGTTTGCAGTGTGGGAGGGGGTGGCTTCTCTGGGGCTGAGTTTGCCCCTTTCCCCTCCCCGCTGCCTCCTACTTCCAGTGGGGATGGGCCGGCTCTTCTCTGGAGTTTCTCAGTCCCTTTGTTTTGCGAACCACCCGCAGTGTGTTCGGGCCAGTTAATTTTCTCCCTTGCTATCCCACAGTTTCAAAGAGCTCCCTCAGATTGCTCTCAGGGTCTTCGGGCCAGTCCTTACCCTAAGCAATGCTGCCCACTCCTCTCCATTCCGCCCCCGCCTTGTTGGTGGCGGGTGCAGGCGTCTGGCGTACTTTTCTGCTGGGAGTTGCTTTTATGCACGTGATCTGTGGGCCTTATTTAATTTTTCCTCCCAGTTAGATTGCCCTCCGAGATTCGAAAACTTCCCCCAGACCCGCCAGTGCGAGGGTTTACTGGTGATTGGAAACTTCCTCTATTAAGACTCCCTTCCCGGGACGGGTCTCCGTCCCTAGCTCTTTTGTCTCTCTTTTTATCTTTTATATTTTGTCCTACCTCCCTTCGAAGACAATGGGCTGCTTTTCTGGGCACCTGATGTCCTCTGCTAGCAATCAGAAGTTGTTTTGTGAAATTTTCTCAGCGTTCAATTGTTCTTTCGATGAATTTGTAGGGGAGAAAGTGGTCTCCCCGTCCTATTCCTCCACCATCTTGGCTCCTCCCATATCTATCAACAAAAATTTAGCGGACATGTTATAGGTAGTAAAGAAATACCATCTGAAAGGACAAAGGTTAGAACCAATCTCAGAAAATGATAAAGATGTTGGGATTATCAGACAGATAATTTTAAATGTCTCTGGTGAATCTATTGAGTGTTCTAATTGGAAAAGTAAATAACAGCGGAAACATGGGTACTATAGCAGAAAATTGGAAATTCTAAAACACAATTGAAAGGAAATGCTAAAAACACTGCAAGAGAAATAGAGAATACTCTTATTCTTGATGGGCTTATCAGTGGCATTAGTATGACAAAGTAGAGAACCAAAGAACATGAAGATATGTCAACAGAAACTTCCCAAATTAAAAAAAAATTAAAAATAATTTTAAAAACAGAATAAAACATACAAGAACTGTGAGACAGTTTTGAAAAGAATGACATAATTTTAATTGGTACACTAGAAAGAGAATAAAGAAGAAACAAAGCAGACAAACTTATTGCTCAGTACTTTGTAAAGTTAAGAATAAAAATTTAATCAATAATTTAGAAGATGTACAGAACATCAAGCAAAATAAGTAGCAAATAAAGGACTCCTAGGCATTTAATACTTAAACTGCAAAGTAAAAACAAAAGGAAAATATTGGAAGAGGCCAGAGGGAAAAATCTCCTAACCCACATAGAAAATGGATACACATTTAGAGGGTTTTTCTCACAAATATTGAAAACAAGAAGTGAGTTGAGTAATATATTTAAAGTGTTAAGAATGTCAATGTAGCATTCTATAACCAGAAATGCAAAAGTAGAAAATCAAGAGATACCTGGAGTAATGGGCAGGTTTGGCCTTGGATTACAAAATGAAACAGGGCAAAGGCTAATGGAGTTTTGCCAAGAGAATGCACTGATCACAGCAAACACTCTCTTCCAGCAACATGAGAGACAACTCTACACATGAACATCACCAGATGGTCAATACCGAAATCAGATTGATTATATTCTTGGCAGTTGAAGATGGAAAGCTCTATACAGTCAGCAAAAACAACTGTGGCTCAGATCATGAACTTCTTATTGCAAAATTCAGACTTAAATTGAAGAAAATAGGGAAAACCACTAGGCCATTAAGATATGACCAATTATACAGTGGAAGTGACAAGTAAATTCAAGGGATTAGATCTGTTAGACAGAGTATCTAAAGAACTATGGACAGAGGTTCATAACACTGTTCAGGAGTCAGTGATTGGAACCATCCCCAAGAAAAAGAAATTCAAAAATACAAAATGGCTGTCTGAGGAGACTTTACAAAACCTGCAAAAAGAGGAGAACCTAAAGTTAAAGGAGAAAAGCAAAGCTATACCCATCTGAATGCAGAGTTCCAAAGAATATTAAGGAGAGATAAGACAACCTTCCTAAATGATCAATGTAAAGAAACAGGGGAAAACAGTAGAATGGGAAAAGCTAGAGATTATTTCAAGAAAATTAGAGATACTAAGGGAACATTTCATGCAAAAATGGGAACAATAAATGACAGAAATGGTATGGACCTAACAGAAGCAGCAGATATTAAGAAGAGATGGCAGGATACACAGAAGAACTATACAAAAAAATATCTTAATGACCCAGATAACCACGATGGTGTGATCAGTCACCTAGAGCCAGACATCCTGGAATGTGAAGCCAAGTGGGCCTTAGGAAGCAATATTACAAACAAAGATACTGGAGGTGATGGAATTCCAGACGATCTACTTTAAATCCTAAAAGATGATGCTGTGAAAGTGCTGCACTTAATATCCCAGCATATATGGAAAACTCAGCAGTGGCCACAGGACTGGAAANTTCCTTTTCACGAAAGTGAAAGAGGAGAGTGAAAAAGTTGGCTTAAAGCTCAACATTCAGAAAACTAAGGTCATAGCATCCCATTTTCTTGGTCTCCAAAATCACTGCAGATGGTGAATGCAACCATGAAATTAATAGATGCTTGCTCCTTGGAAGAAAAAGTATGACCAACCTAAAGAGAATATTAAAAAGCAGAGACATTACTTTTCTGACCAAGGTCTGTCTAGTCAAAGCTATGGTTTTTCCAGTAGTCATGTATGGATGGGAGAGTTTGACCATAAAGAAAGCTGAGCACTGAAGAATTAATACTTTTGAACTGTGGTGTTGGAAAAGACTCTTGAGAGTCCCTTGGATTGCAAGGAGATCCAATCAGTCCATCCTAAAGAAAATCAGTTGTGAATATTCACTGGAAAGACTGATGCTGAAGCTGAAGCTCCAATACTTTGGCCACATGATCTGAAGAGCCAACTCATTAGAAAGGACACTGATGCTGGGAAACACTGAAGGCAGGAGGAGAAGGAAATGACAGAGGATGAAATGGTTGGGTAGCATCACTAACTCAGTGGACATGAGTTTAAGCAAGCTCCAGGAGTTGTTGATGGACAGGTTAGCCTGGTGTGCTGCAGTCTATGCCTTTGCAGAGGTGAATAGCAATAGTCAGAGAAGTGTCTTTCAAAAGTGAATAAGAAATATAGATTTTTTTCAGACAAGCAAAAGCTGAGGAAATTAATTGCCAGCAGATCTACCCTGTAAGAAGGATTAAAATGTAGACATTCAGAGATAAGGAAATTCCATAGATTAGACAGCTGTATTTGCATATGAAAGAAAAACTTTGGAAAAGGAATTGCTGTTGTTCAGTGTCTAAGCTATGTCGAACTATTTGCGACTCCATAAACTGCAGCACATCAGGCCTCCCTGTCTCTCACTGAAGATAAAATAAAAAAATACTCTTTCTGCTTGTCCGTGATCTAATAGGAAAATAATGCTAACTTAACAGTTAACACATCCATCATTTCACGTATTTGTATCTGTGTGTGTGAACATTTAAGTTATCCTCTTCACCAAAAATGCTTCTTGAAAGTAATAAAAGTATTAACATATTTTATTGCTATAGATAAGTGTAAATTAAATGAATGACAATGATTTTATATGCACTAGAAATTCTCTGTCTTAATGTATTAGCACTATCCCTGAATAGTATAGTATTATTAGAGAATAAACTTAGTTTGGTTGCAAATGTATATTTCAAACTCCAGGGAATCCACTAAAAAGTTATATAAAACAAGCACAGCAGATATGCTACAGGGGAGAGGAAATATATGTGTGTATATATATATCTATACATATATATATATATATATATATTTATCAGTTAAAACCAGAAAAGGGGAGAAAAGAAAAATAAAAGAACAAATGCAATGAAGAAAAACAGTTATGAAAGTTATAAACATGGTAGATTTAGATCCAGCTATACCAATAATTACTTTCATTGTGAGTGGCCTAAATCCACCAATTTAAAAAAATTGGATGGGAGGAAGGTATAGTTAGGAAGTTTGGGATGGACATGTACACACTTTTATATTTAAAATGGGTAACCAACAAGGGCCTACTGTATAACACGTGAAACTCTGATCAATGTTATGAATGGAAGGGGAGTTTGGGGGAGATTGGATATAAGTATATGTATGCCTGAGTCCCTTTGTCTTTTGCCTAAATTATCACAGCTCTGTTTTTTAATCAAGTATATCCCAATACAAGAAGAAAAATTAAGGAAAAAGAAAAGA